TGAGTACGAAGAGTTCTGTCTTCTGGGTTGTTGTGCTGTGTAGTCTGGTCGATGTTAACCAACGTTTCAGAGGTCATACTGCCTCCGTCATCAGGGCGATGAGTACGAAGAGTTCTGTCTTCTGGGTTGTTGTGCTGTGTAGTCTGGTCGATGTTAACCAACGTTTCAGAGGTCATACTGCCTCCGTCATCAGGGCGATGAGTACGAAGAGTTCTGTCTTCTGGGTTGTTGTGCTGTGTAGTCTGGTCGATGTTAACCAACGTTTCAGAGGGCATACTGCCTCCGTCATCAGGGCGATGAGTATGAAGATTTCTGTCTTCTGGGTTGTTGCGCTGTGTAGTCTGGTAGATGTTTACCAACGTTTCAGAGGTCATACTGCCTCCGTCATCAGGGCGATGAGTATGAAGATTTCTGTCTTCTGGGTTGTTGCGCTGTGTAGTCTGATCGACGTTAACCAACGTTTCAGAGGTCATACTGCCTCCGTCATCAGGGCGATGAATATTCATACTCACCGCTGTGAGAACCTCAAGTTTTACATTCTGAGAATTTAATTATCGGACCAGAGAACTATAAGGAAATTTAAGTTGTGGACTCTGCTCCATTGAGTTTCTTAGCTTAGAATAATGTTGTCCAGAGACTAACCTGGCATTGTAAGCATGGCTGTGCACCTTCGTGGCACCATCAGGTGACAGCCTGAATCGGTCCGACATACAGCTGTAACCCTCTTCATAGTCGTTTGGGACACGCAGAATTTCATTCCACTCGCCAAGATACTGTGACAGCAACCAGAAATTTCTTAGGAAAGAGGGATTCAGTAGGGATTTTTCGTGGGGAATTTAGGATATGTATTATACAGTGTCTCGACTGATAAAACCGAAACGTAAATGTCACTTCCCGGCTCCCGCCAGAGACTGAATGATTTACCACCAAGTGACACGACATTTCCCGATATGAGTCAAGTATCACTTCATAGAAGTAATAAAATAAACTTACCTTTATTTTAAGATGAGATTTGAAAGAGAAAATATACTGCAGATAATGAGGAAGAAATTTTGACAAGAACCTGAAGGCGAAAGATAAATTTATCTTATGATAATTATAGGTAAGATATTAAAACTTGTATTGACTTGATTTTATCAAGATTCTCCCCCTAGGGTACATTGAAAATCACTGAGTTTGTTGTCATTTTGAAACAAAATGTCATTTTTCCGCAGTTTCAGCTAGTAGTAAATATACGTTAACTTAGAATGATTATTGTCAGTTGTGTTATCCCAGAATTTTTCTGTGTAAACGGAGAAATACAACGAAGATCCCCAGTCATAATGTCGGGTGGTCCTGCCTGTATTTTAATTGAATATCTGCAGAATTCGAGTAGAATGGAGTGAATGTGTATATCGCATGGCTGATACGTGATTTACTTCCAGTGAGCTGCTTAATTTACACAGGACTTGTGTCTGTTAAAAACAGAGTAGTATTGTCTGCTTTTATTTTATTTATTTAGTTTTCTGTCTGAGGACAGGTCCATATGACCAGGATCCTTCCATCCTTTTCTCGGACTGGGACCTGTTCATATACGTTCTTGGCAGATGATCCAGAAGTGGTTTGCCATTGCCTTCTTCTGTGTGTGAATGGAGTAATTGTTGGGATGCCCCGGAGAAACCGGGGAAGCCCCCGGAGGAAAACTCCGTGTTGCCTAGACCACGGCCTTGCCCAACACAAGTTATAAATTCGGGCACCGCCGGGAATCGAACCCGAGACCCCCCAGGATTACAAGGTCAGCGTTCTAACCTCTAGACCACCGTGGCTGTTATTTTAAGATATGCTGAAAATAATGTCCCGGTGACAATATATAACAAGGTATTTCGTGATTGTGCTATTGTGAGGCAGTGAAATGTAAGAGATTGTGATGGGCTGGCCATATAGATTGGATGGAGAGAAAATATATTCATAGATAATTTTTTTTTCGCAGTAAACATTTGTTAATTTAGCTAACTATCATTCTGCTTACCTCGGTCATGTTAAAATCAGTCTTCAAGATCTTTTGTGGACAATGTTGCGTGGAGCCCGCCAGAGCAGCCTCCACAGCTACCCACAGCACCAGCCATTGTGACAGCCAGACCATGTTTCAATTGGCTTGGTCCAGTATAAACCCTGCGGTGATGATATAACTAGCCCAAAGGTCTCTCTGACTATGTGACTGCGTAATTATATAATATCAGGAGGCACGTGATCTCCATTCCGGTCTGATGACCGCCTCTCAGTGGCAATACGTGCATTGATTAATAAAGAAGATACGAATTGCTCTCTGAGGTCAGTTATGACAAAGCAAAGATCTGATCGATAGAACTTACAGGGCTGCTACAGAGGATAAGATGGCGTGAAATGTTATAGATCTTGTTTTATGTTGGTGAAAAACTTGGTCACTGACCTTACGTGAACTTTGACTGTATTCGGGAACGGCGCTGAGAGAATATTTTAATACAAGACCGAAGATGTTAACAGGAGACAAAAATATTGTAACTTAATAATTTTTAATCCTAATTGTATACGATTAGGGTACTCATATCAAAGAGAATGAGATGTACAGATAGAATAACACTCTTCTGAGAGATAAAAATATATACAACATTTTAGTTGGAAAAACTAAGTGGATAAGACGACAGGACACAGTGGCGCGCTCTTTTTAAAACTGTATTGAATCATTTGTTTCCGTCAGATATGGAGAAAATTCCAGCCTGAGGTACTGTTGGCTTCTCAAGTGTGCTCTGCTCTATGGAGTTGGTTATTGGGTTATTAATAATCGACCTTTTGCAAGACCTCTGCCTACACAGGGCAGCTGAACACCGAAACACGGTGACACACATCCGTGTACGAAGTGGAGGGCGTTGTGATATTTCGAAGCGATAATTATCGCAGATACAACTACGGGTTGTCACAACCCATAAGACTAAAATCTGAGAAGGAAATATACCTAATATGCATTTAATGTCACACCAGATTACGTCTTCTGAACATCCAAAATTCTTCAGACAAAATCTTGACAAATGTTTGAACACCAAGGCAAGAAATCTCACGCCGCCCTTGCGCTGTCTGGTCTCGGATGAACCTGGCCGCTGGCCTTTGTACAGAGAACATGATGCAACTGTTGACTCATTTGGCGATAAATTACAAAATTTTATAGTTGGGAATGTTAGGTCTAAATCAGCGTTTTCCAAAGTGGGAGCCGCGGTGCTGCAGGGGTCGGTAAACCTTTTTTTCCGGGGTGTAATAGTCTTATTACGCTTTTATCGCTCAATTCACGGATCTTTGTCTGTATATTTGTTTTGTGCTATTATTATAGGTAGAGGCCTTGTGACTGGCTTATCGTTCGTCCTCCAAGGAGTCCTATCAAGTATCTAAATAGACTATGAAACCTCCTATATGTGAAGAGGTCAAGGTCAAGGACTGTAGAGTTACAGAATAAATAATTAATGGTCTAATTATATTACATGTTAGCTGATATTAAAAATTCCACATTAAATTACATACATGTTATTTGTAGATATCTTTAAGATTTATTATTATTATTATAAGTAAAATAACAATAATTGTTCTCTGATTGAAGGACGTTGAGAGGCATAGGGCATATAACACGTTTAAGGAAAGAGAATTGT